GAAATGGGGCCGTGCCTGCAATGCCCCACAAGGCACTGGAGTTCAGGCGCTTCTCTGGGTCCAGGTCTTGGAGATAATATGTGAGGGTGTCTTGGCTCCTGCTTGGAGCGAGGGAGATGCGCCGGGCTGGAGGGATTTTAGGGCACTTGCCAGCAATCAGCTGCAGCGTGTGTGGCAGGTTTTGTTTCACTTTGGATTTTCTCTTCCTCGTCCTTTCTAGTCCCTCACCACACTTGGTTTAGCATTAGGCATGCTCTTGTATTCGTTGCTCACGTGTGTCAAACCGGAAAGATTAAACACCTCCATCACTGAAGTCAGAAGCAGGAGCAGCTTCTTCCTCACTAACAACCTGACAAAGTGCTTCCCTGGGCAAACTCCTGCCACAAACAACCTGGACAAAGGTTTCTATGCTTCTGCATGACACTTGCAAATAAAATACTTGCAGAAACATGAATTACTTGGCAAATTCTGGGGTTGGGCTTGCAATAAGCTTCAGCTTGCAATGAGTGTAACAAGTATGTTAGAAAATCCGTGCTGCTCTGAGAACGTACACTGCATACAAGTCATTGTGGGCAACTCTTTACACACTGGAAGATTTTCAAATTACATATTTCTCATTTGGCACAATGATTTCTGCTAGATGACCTACCAACACATCAGCAACAGTGAGAATTACACTTGCAATAGGAGAAGAGTATTGGTGACTTTTCATATTTTTTGAAAGTGTAGTCACTGACTCAGTGACCTCCCTGTAACAATTTAAAATATACAATCCCTGCCAAAGGCTTTGGTATGCAAGTGTTACGTGTGTGTTCATTTGTGAGCGGATCATGAAAATGATAAAGAGCTGCTGTTCCTCAGATAACTGTAAAGAATAATGGACTTAGCCTGACAATGAGGCAAAGCAGCCTTTTATTATATTTGTGAAATGAATTTGCATGTATCTGAAAGAGATTTCAGTGATGTAATTGTCTCTTTCAAAATAGCATGTGTTATCTTAAAAGTAAAAAAAAATCACAGAATTTTTTTTCAACTCAGAAGGAGACTCTAATTCAGTTTCCAAAACTTAACCTACTGAAAAGAGAACTGATCTCCTGACTTTTTGATGATTATTCAGCCTAGTGAGGAATTTTTGTGTATCTGAATTTTAACTCCTGCCTCAGGCAGCAAGTTGCTCTGCAGTTGGTAGGAGGCTTGTAGAAAGACAATGGCACAATGCAGATCTTTGTGATTTCCGAAGCGCCTCTAATAACTTTCCTACTACTTTAAATGCTATATTTGAAAGAGCAAGAGGAAATCTTGACAGCTGCATAACAATTATTCATTAAACACACCCGAACACCACTTCAAGGGTGAAACAAATAAAGCAGCAGCTCAGCAGTGCACAAATACAGGTTGTAGCTATGCCTGACTTAAAGTGCATCTTTCTGTTAATGACTTCGGTCTCCACACTTGCATACAGAGACTGATGTTTTCGTGTATTTTGCATCCATATTTATTTGGGTAACGTAATTACATTTTCTTTCTAAGCTTTGTCATTTATCATAAATGCTGGCAGGGATTGCCCAGCCGCGGCCAGGCTGCCAAATCCCAGGGGACCTCTCCCTGACTTGCACCAGGTTAACTGACACGCAGCTCAGCCCCTAATCCTTCCGTGCTCCCGGTAAGAGTTGCGTGCACAGAGCTCCCCAGCCTGAGATCCAGAAATAGGGAAGGCGAGTGACGTAAAGTGAGCGTGGGGACTGTGGCAAGGGCCCATATGACTGCCTTGAAAAACACCAGCGCTTCTTAACAACCCGCTGCCTTGCTCTAGTCAACACCCGACCTCTTCTGCACCCGCTTCCTCAGCTGAGACCGCTTTCCATCCTTGCTGGGCGAGTGCTACGGGCAAGACACTCCACGGTCGGTGCCAGCCAAGGCTGAGGCGGCTGAAGCTGCCATGCTCAGTCCCTTTCCTGCGGCGTCCCCAGGCTGCCACAGGCACTGAGAGCTGTGCTGCGCCTCTGCATGGGCACCTCGGCTGCCCCTCGCTGCTCCCTGGGCAGCACTGACCTGCAGCTTCCCTGGCTGTGGGATAAGCAAAAAAATGGTCTTTTTGGACAGCCAAGTGCAGCCGGTTGCTCTCGGTGACAGAGCAAGAGGACTCCAATGGGTCCACCTGCTCACCAGTTACTTTCCACTTGCAGTCCACGGCTCTGCCGCCCCGGCACCGAGCGGTGAGGAGAGACCTGCCTCCATCTCCACATCTCCCTTCACTCCTCATGCCTGTGCATCCCCTCAGCAGTACCAAAACATGAGAAATACTCAATCTGGAAACTAAAAAAAAACCACCAAGCCCTGAACTAAACACAATCAGTTGTCAAACTGACAACTGTCGCCTTGGCTGGCACCCTCTCTAAAGCCGTCCGTACCAAGGCCAGCACGTGGCACTGAACACCAGTGGATCCCTGTGGATCACTGAACACCTGGGATCCCTCAGTGCCACAGCACTCCAACACCGGCCAGCACGCTTCACAAATCCTCTGCTTAAGGGATGGAGAAGTTATTCTTTCCTAAAGGAATGATGTATTCCCCACTTACATGAATGAGCAAATACTTACTAAAAGGTTGCACTAGTTAGTAGTTTTGTCTGGTTAATAATTAAAGCAAGTCATTCATCTTTAATCATTTCAGCCTAGTGTTCTGTTTAATGCTCTCTGTCAAATCAGTATTTTTAAAGCAAGACAAGAGACTACTTTTCAGGAGAAAGATCATCATGTGTTTAAGAAGTCGTTTTCAGTATCTTATTTCTATTCTTGCCTCTGGCAAAATAAATAAAATGTCAGGCCAAAACCTAGTCACTTTTGACTCCACTTAAGCTGAGGAACTGGTTTCAAGTTGAGTCCTGCTGACCTTGCCTGAAAATTCTGCATTTAAGACAACGGGAGACTGTGAGCTCAAAGCAGCGGAGTTGTAACTCCCTGTTGTCCTTTCACTCGCTCCAAGCACTGAGAAGCAGCAGTTTTATTTTTAAATGAGCTGGGCCACAGAAATGTCCTTTGGAATTTCAGAACTGCAAGCACACGACGAGCCATGGCCGGCAAGTGCGACGCTCAGCGCCTCCGCCGCGCGTAACGCCCAACAGCCTGCGCTCACTTTCATCTGCTCTGGGTGATGGTAAGAGCTGGGATCGTTCTATTTGCGATTTGTTTATTTGCGCCTCTTGTAGCCATAAGGAAAAACCATTCTCCATTTTCTAAATATTTATTGCTACTCAGAATGAATCCCGAATGTCGCGCAACAGCTCTAAGTCCACGGGCCAAATGTGAGCTGCGCAGGCCTGGGGAAGCCAGGGCGGAACGTGGCGCAGCCTCTCACGCCGCTTTAAAAGCAATTTCCCGTCGCCAACAGAGCTGAGATCAGCTCGATTTCCACCCCCTCCTCACCCCCGCAACAAAACAGAACAAGCTACTCACAAAAAGAAATGAACAGGTCAGGTTTCGAGGACTTTCGAACTAGGACTCTGGGATACAACAGAAACGAGAACAGGGGCTGCAGAGCTCCGCCGGCCCTTCCGAAGGGACGGGCGCTCGAGCCGAGCCTTTGTCTTGTTACACGCCACCACAGGTTAGAAACGAGAGACAAACACGACTTCTGTCCCACCAGATTGTTTGTTACACATTCACAAAAAATAGAGAAAGTAAAATAAAAATATTAATTAAAAACCCAGTCCTCCCATCAGGGCGTAGAACGGAAGATATGAAAAACAAAAATGAACATTAGTTTAGTTAGAAATGTGCTTGTTAAGTGTGTTAAATTAATGGCCAAATCACCAATATTTTTTCACCCCTTTTTTCACAAAACTTTCTCTTTACAAAGGCTAGTTTGTCCTCTAAAACTGTTTCCTAAGAAGATACTAGGTTTCTATAAGGTATTTCTAATCTACAATCTATTCTAATGGAGGAGGAAAAGGAGATTATGTAGACAGCACAAATTAACTCCTTAAGTATTAATGCATCTCCATTTTCAGCCTGAAGGAGTACATATCTTAAGGAGCTATGAAAAAAGAAAACAAAATAAATATAACTCAACAGTCCTAGTAATTTATAATGCATATACAATTGTTCACCTGCGTCCTTCTGATTCTCTATATGAAAGAGAGAAAGCAACAAGGAGAGAAAAGAGAGAAACAAGAACAGATATGCAGGATTAATGAGCAAGTGGACCGCACAGCCCCCCAGTTATGCGTGATATATGACATTTGAAAAGAAGAGAAGTCGCCCCATCTTGCCCCCCGCCCCCCTCAAAGCATGGGGTTACCAAAAGAAGCTCCTTTTCACGGAGGTGAAAGAAAACGCTGCACAAATAGAAAACCAGAGAGGGTGAGCTCTGAGGACCCAGAGGGGATCTCCAAGTGCTGGTGGGGCTGGGACGACCCCCCCAGAGCTCGGTGTAAAGGAGCCGGGAAAAAAAATCGAGGAGGAGGAGAGCGAGTCAAGCGCATCCTTCCGCTCAAGAGTTAACAAGACAGGAGACACATACGATCTGATGTACAGAGAAAGGACAGCCTTGTACGATCTTATACACAGGACTGGGTACAGATCTTATACGCAGGCAAAGGGAGGGCTTTTTCCAAGTGTCCTTTATCTGACCTCTAGCTCACTTCTCCCCGATGTAGCTGCTACCTTTTGATTGTGTACCAGTGACAAGCACTTTACAAATTGGGGTTACACAGAAGCAAAGTAAAAATGCATTCAGGTCACGGACAGAAAGAAGAACTGAAAAAACTTACAGACGGTCTGAGTTTATCACAAACAGATGGGTTAATTCTCTAACCTGGCTCAGGCTGATAAAAAGTGACTGGACTTCTCACACTGGGTTTCACAGACAGAAGCAACAGACAAGCCAATGCTAAAAGACTTGAAGCAAGGAGAGTGAGTTGGTTTGGATCTGGACTTTCTTGAGGTAATGGAAACAGAAAGAGTGAGGACAGCATGGAGAGGAGGGTGGTAGGTACTCACGAATGGTTAAATCCATCACTTGAGAGGCCAAGCAGAAGACAGGATGCTCATACATTTCTCTCTTTTTCCCTATAAAAGAGGATTTGGGCATGCAAGAGGCTTAGGTCAGAGGTAAAGAGGTTATAGGCTACAGGTCAGAGGAAAACTTTATATTAGGTTAAAAGAAAGCAGCCGTAGAGTATTTTGGGATACACACGGGATAAAAGGAAGAAAAAAAAGAAAAAGATAAAAAAAGGAGGGTTAAAATTGGAGATCTACTGGATTAACCATTCAGCATGCCCATGAGTCACAAGAGAGGCTGTGACCATGACACTAGAGGTTTGCTCTTGACTGTTTGCAAGAATATAATGATCAAAACATCATGAATAGAGGGAAATAGAACTCCATTGGTTTAAGGCTCCAAGATACTAAGGGTTTCAGCCTTCAGTATCTAAGGCTTTCAGAGGTATTTCTTCATAAGCATAGCCTCAAGCACTGTTGCCACTCACTTGGTTCTGCATCTCTGATAAAACTCTCTTGAACACGTGGCTATTCAAACATCAGCTTTCAAAAGCAAGATTTTGAAGTCATGTACAGTGCTCAGGAACGCACCTCACCGAGGTAAATTTGTGATTTGCTCTTCTAAGGAAGTATTTGAACAGGTAGTGGACTATGCTCATGAGAGAAAACCTGATGCATGCAGCCGGCGGATGTTGGGTTGTTCGAATTAACAATCCCAGCATGCTTGGAAATTGGTGTTACAACCACTTTTATAGAGATAGTATCAAAAAGTGGCTGTGGCCAATCACAGATAAAGGAGGAGAAAAGCAGAAGAGAGCAGGTAGTGTGGAATGAACTATTTCTCTGAAAACGTAGCTGGAAAAAAAATAAGTTTGTTGCTTCAAAGTATTCCCAGACCTAAAAGTCACAGTGCGAAAGAAAGGGCAGATAATTAACACAACCAAGAAGAATTGAGGCACAAAAGGAAAAGTACACACTAACTGTTCTACTTTGGAAATGAATGCATTTTTACTTACAGATCATAAAGTTTGTTTTTGCATAGATTTATCTGAAAGAAGAGAGCAAATCTTACCAACGAGTTAGTGATATTTACACAGAGAACCTAAGGGAGCCAGCCCTGGGTAGAAGCATCCATCAACAGAAAAGCTGCTTTTGATTCTCAGTCCTTCTCCATCCTCATCAAGTATATTTAAACATTGCATTTTACAGAATACACCAATTAAAATATCCTGTGAAGTTGAGTGCTTCGATAAATTGCCTGATAATACAGTGCTTATGAAACCTTCGCTCCTTCTCTATTTTTGTCACTCATTACTAAGTCAAGAGTTGATAAACATCCTTTTAGTGCCCAATTCTTAAGCGTTTCTCACTGGATGCATAACAATGAATTCATTACCACTGGTACACAATTTGCATCGTTAGACAGAAAAAAAAACGGAAAAAGAGAGGACATGTCATGTACAGAACCTGGACAATTTGTCATATAATAACGAAATTTTTCATGTAGACAGGAACTAAGAACAAATCACAGAGAGTTTGAGGTGGGGTTTTTTTTTTTTTCTCTCCTCTCAATATTGTCCTAGAGGCATACAATGATAATCTCAGCTGTGGGAAAGCTTCACATCACACATGACAGAAACCCAAAGTCTAGAGCAGAACATACCATTCATCTGGAACACAGAGGTTTAAGCAATTGGGAACTTGGATAAAGTTGGGTAGGAGTTTCAAGTTGGGAATAGCAGCCAACAAGGTACCAACGTGAACCGATTAACACGTAAAGAACGACTGGATCGCAGAGCTTCAGCTAACACATATCCTCCAGCAAGCTTTAAAATGTCTTTTTGATGACTACATGTGTCTCTGGTCGCTGGTTATTATACTCTCATAACTTAAAAGGTCAATAATATCAGCTATGCCAGATTTGGAGTGACAAGAAAGAAATCTGAAGCAAGTATGGGATCACTGACTGCTATGCAAACTGCAAAGACAACAAAACAATCCCAGAAAAAAAAAGACATTTTAAATTGGCTACAAATGATTAAGCATAGATTAAACAGTTTTTCAGCTTCTTATTTTTCACTCGTTTCCTGAACTCCACTGTCACAAACAATTAGCTGCACTATAGCTTCAGCTGCAAAGATGACATCCCAAGTATTTCTCAATTTGTTTTTTAAAACCACAGCATGACTCTGAATACTACACCACTGGCCAAATGCACTAATGATCAAAAAAAAAAAAAGCAAAAAAAAAAAAAGCTACAGTTCATCTTAACTGTTTCCTCTCTCTTTTCCAGAAAAAGAAATGTTTTGCATAGCTTCCATTCTTAACTGCTTCTGAAGCCAACACCACAAAAATGATTCAGAATCACATCACTTTTATTGACAAGTGAACAAATAGCAAATGAGCTTCTTTTAAATAGCTCCCAGCCACAGTTGCCACCTGGAAACATGAAAAAATTGTAATTTCACAAAGAAAAAGCCTTACCTTCAATTTTGGCATACTCTGATAGTCGAGTATAATTGACTAGAGCTGCTTGCTCCAAGCATTTACGGATGACTGTTTTTACCTCCTCTTGAGGGACCGGAGTAACTATGTCTTTCATCAGAACCTTGACACAAGAAAATCTGATTTGTTGTGGCATCAGGCACACAGAACTGCTTTTCTCCAAGCCCAGCACACAGATCCATTCCTACACCAGTGCCGTGTGGCTCTCGGAGTATGCGTACAATACGCAGGATCCACTACAAGGTCACCTTGGCCAGCCTGAGACGTGGGACCTATCCTTGCTGTATTATTCCCCTTCTGTATCTATACCCAAGGGCATGCCCTGAAATCCATGCTTCCAATTTTTTAGGGCTTGACATTTAAGATCTAACACTACTTGCCTGGTGCCTGGCAGTTATGCCCGTCCCAGGCTCTGCAGACTGACTTGGGTGTAGGTCTGGGCTCGGCCACCCTGCAGGTAAGCGGAGGTGTGAAGGATGTCGGAGCAGCAGGAAGGCTGAGATAGGGGTGGGGAGGATGATGGTGAGCAGGTTTCACATGTCTGGGGGAAGTAAGCCTGCCTCAAGGTGGGAATTTCACCAGACAGCAGCCAGGCACTGCTCACACGGGTCTGTGGTGTGAGATCCTCCGCCCTTAACTATCGACACGGGGCGGCGGGCTGTGCTGCCTTTAGTGGCTGGGCTACACACGGGCCTCCGAGCTGAAGCAGCTAAGGTAACAACTCCACCAAAATAGTCATATTTCAATATAAACTATCATATGCCCTATGCAAATAATTTCCTCAAGCTCTTCTGGATGGAAAGATACATGAACACAGGTAATTTTAGCTACTCTCCGTTATGCTTACCCTTTCCAGCAGCGATAGAGTAGCTTTTAGTGCACCTTCTGGACGGCCAAATGGAAAGCAGTACCTAGAAAAATCACATCATGTTAACATCAGAGCAGGTGCATGTGAACAAGCCCTTCCAGAGCTAAAAAGATGCTTTCCTAAATACGCCCAAGCAATTCCTTAGTTTCTCTGCCTGGAGTGAGCAGCCTTTCTACAGGGTAACTTTCCAAAAGGGTTTGGTAGTGTGGACACTAAGGCAGCAAAACAGAATATGGGGTAGTAATATGCTGATAGTTTTAGCATCTTATTAAATCTGGATGTTACCTGCAGAATTTTTACATCTCTTAGGAGACAGTTAAATAGCATAGTCTTGTAGAAATGGTAAAAAAAAAAAAAAAGCCCCTCTGGAAAGGACATTTACTTGCAGGCAGAGACCTGGCGATGCAGCGGGCTGTAGGTAAGGGGCTGGACAGCCCCCAGCCCTGGCGAGTGGCAGCTCCGA